CAGCACCTGGAAGGTCACTTCTTCTGCAGAGTTGTGTTTTTGACTCCCAACACGTATCCAAAGCCATCATGGCAGAGCTCACTTTGCCTGGACAGGGTATGGACATGCTTGAATCCCCATCCTTGATACTTGAGCCTTATCTGGAACATCTCAGAGTCAGACATTGGCTTCAGTGGTGTTTTGTACCATACCGCAGTTTTCCAAGGGGATTAAATCCCTAAGCATAAGTCTGTCCTAGGTCCAGCACTCAGGTGGCATTCAAGCATTTATTCTCCTGTGTGTCTTGTTAAAAATTTTCAAAGTTCTAACTGTCTGTATGTGTTTATTTTCTTCTGCCCTGTCCCTCTGTCCCAAGCTGCCATTTCTCTGCCATTACGTGATCAGTGCAATTGCATGCACCTCTATCAATTGTACTGAATTTATCTTTCACAACAAAAGTTTCTACTCTTCTTTTTCCTCCATCTTCTGAAATTTTCCCTTTTTCTACTGCCAATCTGATAGTTGTTCAGAAGCTGCCAAGATGTATTTGGCTCTCGTATTTGCTCCAGATGGAGACGTTTATTTTCACTCATATCTGGCAATAGGAACTGTGGTATCACCAAACAACTTTTCTCTGAGATTAATTGTTTTGATAGTAGAGAATAACAAAAGAATGGTTCCTTTTGTTTATAGTTTTTATGTTACTTCTGATGGCAGATAACATAGTCTAGCCTGTATCCTAAAAGTTCAACCATGCCCAGAGAATCCACTGGTAGTTGGATTTTTCTAGTTTATATCCCATCAAGAATGATCATTTGGATATGTATCTTTTAGTAGTCTAGGATTATTGTTTAAAAGTAAAGCAAGAAAATCCCTGGAATGAAATCTCTGGTTCTAAACTGAGCAGGGGTGAATGTACCAACTCTTTTGTGTCTACTATATCTGTCCTGTATGCATTAGACATGTTTGTAAACAGTTTTGGTTTCATAGAAACATTGAGAACCAGTCTAAAGGATCTACATAGGCAAAAATGCTGTCACTGATTTCATCGAACATGACTGGGTCAAGCCAAATAGCTGCTCTGCTGTGTGTTAGAGTGGAAGGCAGCGTGCTATGCTTCTTGTAAGGTGTGAGCAGAGGTCAGGAATCTAACACTATACCCAGATCTGCCACCGGTCCAACTTTTAGGACCAGAGTATTCAAGGCCCTGAAATTAATGCTACACTACATGGATCAATCCTGAGGGCATCAAATCTCTTACAGGGCTGAGCCATGCATCTCTTGACTTCTTATTTTTCTCCATATGCAAAAATAGACTGCTCCTTTTCCTCCTTTCCATTTTACTTTGGAATATCCACTTGGAAACTTAGGGCAATATGATAGCCTGTAAATGACCTCTCAGATTAGACACTATGTTTCTGATTGTTTTTCCTGCATCCTAAATGTATTTACGTGTGTTACTCCTTTGCTTCTATTAATTTCACAATTGATTCAAGACGAAAAATATTCGCCTGGCTTATTTCAGCTAAGAGGCTTCACATTTAATGGATTTGCTGTTCTTTAATGTCCCAGGTCACTCCTTGAGATCAGCAAATGCCGAAATCCTTATCGTCCCTAAATGTTATCTGAAGTCATGTCGTTACTTTGCCTTTAGTGAGTCTCTTTGCTCTCTGGCTTTGGAACTTACTGCCAAATGAAGTAAAGAAAGCTCTGACTGCAGGGATTTCTAAATCCAAAGTTAAAAGTTATTTGTTCTATTTAGCATTTTTAAAATTATTCTTTTAGGAATTGTATGTGCCTCTGAGCTAATTAACTCTTAATGAGCGCAAAATGCCCTGGGATGTAGATTTGGAGGGTATGCTAGAAGTACAGGCATGGATTGGACTACAATACTGCAGGAGATTAAATTTATGATTTGATTCTTTTTTCAAGTGATGGTGCAGATAGTTTTACTGAGATACTTTTTTCTTTCTTTCTAGTCTAAATAAAGCTGATCAAATTTTCAGTCCAACATATGGGGCCCAGTTATATCAGTCCTGCAAACACGCTTTAGTTTTCCGTTATGAATGAAGTCACTCTTCAGTAGGGAAAACAAGTTTAGAAACAAACTTTCATATTATGAAAGACAGGCAGTGTTCCAGCACTGAGTGCTTAACCAGAGCATCAGGAAATCAGAACACCTGGCTGTGCCCAGCTCCATGCTATTCCCCTGGACCAGTCCCTCACCCTTTTAGTGCCTTCACTCATTCATCTGTAAAGTGACTATAATTGCATTTATATCACAAGGGTGCATTGATGCTTGACAAATGAGAATTGACCCCAAATTCATCCTTCAGAAGCACTGTATGAGCAGTACCTTGCTCACATGGTGGTTGTGGACAATTAGATTAGATGTGGTATAAATGCAGTCAAAGTGAAATTCCATTTAGGAACTGTCAAACTGTTCTTGATAATTTTTCTTAGTTTTCATCTAATTCTAGTGTAGAATTTTGCATATATCTCCCAGAAAGGGTTTCTGTGTCTCTTTCCTTCTTTTGCAACAAGCCAGCATATTTTATTCTATGTTATATTAAACTGTCTTTTTGGGCAAATGGTTTGTTCCCAGAGCAATACCTTGGAAAGCCGCATTTAACAAAACAAAGAAAAATCATTATGTCAGAGAAATCTTATCCTCTATGTATTTGAGTAAATTTCAATCACTTACAAGGATTGTACATGGAAAAAATATTCCAGGTTTTATGAAAAAGGGGTTGCCTAATTGTTGTTATGTTTTATTTAATTAGATTTTTTATATTTGCTATAATAATGTTTAAAAATTAAGCTGACTTTCTGCAACAAACTGTAGAAACATATGGTGTACAGCCTGCAGAAGCTCTCAGTGGCAGTAGTATTACTGATAATATTTGCAAGTTAGAATCTGCTTTCCTCTGAAAAATAGCTCTGTGTTCTCCCAATTTAAAAAACTGTGCTTTCGCCAACATGTTTCTGTCAGCATTAACAATTCTGGGAGAACAAGAATGGATATGATCTTCTTAAATACATTTCCTTACTTCTGCATGACTGTGGCTCTTTCAGTGTGAGGCAAGCTGACTATCAGACTTGGTTTCTCCTCCATGTGTGACATGAAGCCACTTAAAGAAACCAGGTGAATTCAAGGGGGGCCTGTTTTACAAGGACCTTCCCCCAGGTAGCTTAGCCCAACACCAGGAAAAAAAAATGGAATTGTTGCTTGGTCGAGCCACTTTTCCCAATAAAAGCACAACCGCTTTTTTTAGGGCTAACCAGATTACAGGATGCCAGGAGGTCTCCTGTCAACAGCCCAGAGTAATCTCCAGACCCCAGGAACTGCTCCCAAAAGGATTTGTAGGCACAGCTTGGTTTCCCACAAGAAATTCTATGGCACAAAAAAAAAAAAAAAGAAACAAACAAACAAAAATCCTTTGGATCTTACTTTTGTAAGTTCAGACTTGCAAAGCACTTTAAGAACAACTCACGCTCACAAAGCCTGTTCCTCTGACTTATCTCTAGTGTATGCTTGTGTCCTGGTTGGGGCTGGACTAGAGTTCCTGTTGGTTTTAGTAGCGGGAGGAGCTGCAGCACAGAGACCCCAGGGGCTCCCCAGGTCCCAGTGCCCTCACCTGTGTGCGGGGGCGGGGGGAGCACAGCTGGAGGGCTGGGCCCCGATTGGCCGATATCCCATGTCATGTGACCTTGTGCTCACTATATAAAGGCAGGAGTGGGCCAGGAGGGGCTGCTACTTCTGGGAGTGTTGCTGTGGGGTCTTTGTGTTTGGGATCGCTGGCTGGGAGCAGGTGGGTGTTGGCTGGTGGGTGGTGAGCAGCTGTATTGTACATTACATACTGATATTGCTGTCAGTGTATTGTTCTGATACTGTTATTAAACTGTTTTTATCTCAACCCGCATGTCTCCCTTTGCCCCTCCGATCCCCTCCCCATTCCCAAGTGGGGGGACGGTGGGTGAGTGACTGTGTGGCATTTAGCTGCTGAGTAGGCTCAAACCATAACAGCTTGAAAGGCTCTGTGCCAAACAAAGTGCAGAGATTGAGTAAATAAACAGACACTAAACATTGTACCAAGGAAATGGTCCAAGCAGTGGTGTTCTCAGGAGTGCCAAAGCTGGTTTAGGTTCACATTCATCCATAGGCAGTCTACAGAATTCACTTTTACCCTGCTTGGCTTCAGTAACTAGCTGCCCAAGGCTCTCCCTTGTGACTGGACTCACTCAGACCTGAAGGTTCAGACCACACACTCTCTAGAGCCCAGTCCATGGGAAAATTTAACCTTTCAACGAAGCTGCCATGCTCAGAAGAAGGCCTGGCAGACCAGTCCCTCAACATTGTTGTACACCAGTGACCTCATGCAAGCAACATCTTTGGCAGGATGTACAAGCAGAGGTTGTCCTTCCCTTCCTCCCAATGACTGTCAAGGTGGAAGCAAGACAGACCATCGGCAGACCACCTGTGACAGCATTAAACATAGTTCAGATTCCTGAGCTGATCATTTTGCCTCAGTAGCTGTGAGTAATTAAAACTCATCTTGAATGCAGAAATAGGTGGGCCTTACCCAGGCCTCAGCTCAGCTCTCAGGCTTCAGTGGGCTAATGGATATTTTCAGTGGGCTCATGGAAATAAGTGGTTCGGTGCAAAATGCATCCACCTCTTCAGGTCACTACAATAAAATGCTTTCAGGATCAACAAATTTCCTATGTATCAATCCTGGACCAAAGTCTAGGAGGCTGTAAAAAAAGTCAAACTTGAAATCTTCTTGCTTTACCACTAATCCATCAATACAGGTCTCTAGCTTTAATTCAGTTAATTTGGCCATTTCTGAGGGTGATGTGGGTAGTCGAAAGAGAGATACTCTTTTTATCTTTGCTCAGGTAGGTGGTGTCTAAATCTAAAAGGGACCTCTCAGCAGTTGACAGCAGGTGACTAATCTGCAGAAACGCCCAGGTTTCTCAATCAAAGAAGTGAAAAAATTCTTTCTGACTGTGTCTTTCAGGATTTTGCCGACTCCATATACCAAATGGTTGCACAGAAGTTCCAGGAGCTGACAGACAATTTCACTTCCATGCATGCACGCCACAAAACTCTTGCAGGCATTGTGATGACCAAAGGTAAGATATACTCTCATTTATTTACCTCTGGCATTTTTCATGACTAAATAATACATTATTTACCTGGTCCACGGTATTGAAGGATGCCTCTACTCCCACGCAGAAAAATAAATAGTAATGCAGAGAAAAGAATCATTAAATATTTACACCTCAAGTAACTTCACACAAAAAGTATTGGCAACAGAGGTAAAGATTTATTCATAAATATGTCCCTATATTGCTTTTTTTACAGGACAAAATACAGACCTGTCTGATTTTGTATTTCTTAATAGATGGGGGGTTTAGTTATGAATAAAAAGTTGTATTATTTATTAATTGCTTTTTTAGATCTGGAAACACCAAGTTCTTGTTGTACAAGGCCACCATAAACCTTGTTTTATACTGAAAACAAAAGCAAATCTCAGCCCATTTCCTTTCCAATCAAAAAAAAATCAAACCCAGAGTATGCTTAATTTTAATTCTACTTTGCTCTAACCATGGGAAATACTTATACTTACCCACAGGGCCAAAATCTGGTATTCACTCCTGTTAAGACTTAACAGATGGACACATACTATTCAGAAATCTTTAGCCCTTTGATGAAGATGTTCCATAGATGGTCTTTCTTTCTTTGTGAGCATACCTTAGTTGGGGCACCTCAGTATTTATGAGGATGTCAGCAGTGGAGATGCTGTCATAAACTTCATCCTCACTCCGAGACATGGAGTAGTGGATTGAGTTTAGAAATGAGAGGATAAACTCAGAGGGGAAAGGCATGTATAATTCATCCAGTCTTGTCTTACTCCTTCCTTTCAACAATTACATTAGCTAGATTCAATAGGGACGGTTGTGAATATTGCAAAGCAGCAGGATGGAGACAGGATTATCTTCTGGATCTTTTCCAGCCACAGAACCTAAATACAGCGAAGCATTCTGTGGAGAGTAACTTATTCTCCTCCTTTCTGATGTGAAAAGACTAAGCAATACTCTCTTGAAATTAGAAGTAGAGAAGTTGACCTAAAGGTCTTTTAGACCTCAATTTGAAACTGAACCACTCCTCAGCTAAATTTGTTATCATTTTGCTTAATCTGCCTTAGTTACTTATTTTTTGTATTACTTTAGGATCTGGAATAACACGATTCTTCTATTTTTTAAGTTCTGCACAGACATAGTGTTGTACAAACAACTAACACAGTTTTTAAGTCCTGTAGACCACAGGAGGCATATTCAGTACAAAGGAAAATAAAAAGGAGAGTGTGATTGGCTTTGGGATGTGAAAGATGCCCACTAGACACAGCATACCAGCTGCCTCATCATAGCCAGGTTTCATGACTGTGGCACTCATCAAATTTAAACAAAGTGCTGTAATTTATTTAGAGGAGCTCTTTCCAAGCAGAACCACAAAGAAGAATGTTTAAATATGTCTTCTAAGGGAAACTAAGTTAGAGGAGCCAAGAAATGTTGCTGTAACTGCTTTCTGAGGGGAGGCTGTACCCAGCTCAGTGTCCACATTCAGTTTGCTTACAGTTAGTATGTATTTTGCCTGTAAGTATTTCATCCCATTTTACCTTGCCAATGTACAACCCCTCTATTCTTTAGCCCAGGCATAGGCCTGATTTAAAAAGCATGATGGAGCCAATTCAGCCTTATTGCTATATGACCAAAGAAGCTGTTTAAAACCCCACACCATATGGGAAGATAAGTCACCTAAAGGAGTCACAACTTCCAAAATTGTGGCTGTTGAGTGTTTACAGTGCTGGAGGGGAGGACAGGCACATCCAGATCCCTGCTAGCCTTGCTGGGCAGTTGGGGCTGTCTGTGCCTCTTCTTTGGGGAAGGGTGAAAGTGTCTTCCCACTGGGGTTTTTTATGAGTCCCATGTCCTTAGTGTCATTTTACACATTTATATTTGATAATTCACCTTAGTCAGCCTTAAGACAAAATATAATTTTACTTATGTTCACAAACAATTTCCCTCAAGGCTTATTTTTTAATTCTGAATTCCCTTTTATGAATTCCTTCAATCTGTCAGCCATCCAATTTGTCAATATCTTACTGGTTTTGTGGAGCCTAGAGAAGAATCTCACATATATGAAGTGATTCACAGAAGATGAAAAGCTAGAAACAGCCTTATCTTGGTACATTTTCCAGGAAGACTTGAGTTCTTTCCAGAACAAGAACGTCTGCCAACTATGGCAAGACAAATCATTTGCCATTTGTGTCATTATTTCTGTACTAAAGTTGTAGATTTGTCATCTGTTCCCCACCATCATTCCCAGAGGTAGCAAGGATCTTGACACACCCTTCAAAGACAGCAAAGACAGGTTTTCCACATCAAACACTCAAATAAATACCAATTTCCTGTGGTTTTAACATAGAGTTTGGCTGAGAAACGCTTAGATCTCTGCAAACAATTTACTAATGACATCAACAACACCAAATCTGGTAGTGTCTTGTTGCATTTGGTACCATACACTCCCATAACAGACAAAAATTAATTTGTTTTTACCTTCATTTCAATTTAATGTCATCCCAACTAGGAACAGATTTATCTGTGCTTGTACAGTTTTCAGACAAAGCTGGTAGAAAGCACAATGTGATTCTGTGATAACTGCTGTTAAGATAATACAAAATCTCTACAGACGAAACAGAAGTGTGCTAGATTGGTTTTCTTTTCCTGAACTCTGACATTTTTTTCTGCCATTTCAGTTTCCCAGGGAAACCAAACAGAGTTACATTTGGACACTGTAATTGACTTATGCTGCAGCACCCAGGGCAAATTCCAAAGTATGAGAAAGAAAAAAATGTAGAAAAAGATGTTATTGACTGACTGTGAATGTTCTGCAGTAATAAACTGCTAGTCAGAAAAACAAGCAGTCCAATGTATTCAGATATGCTTTGCTCTGAATTGTGATGAAAAGTTAAAATCTTTATCAATTTTTGTGAAAGTAAATTTTCAAAACATTTGATTAGTAGACATCAAGATAACCTCAAAAAGAATCAGCCTAGGTAGGAGTAAATTATCACATTAGATACCAGCTGATGTGATGTTATCTGAGGTAATATAATAATTGAATATAATATTAATTAAAAGACTAATATAACAGATCTTGAACTAAATATTTCAAAAGATGGTACAGTTGAAGTAAATTATTTAGCAGTTCTTCAGTTATAATGTATTTGAAATCTGCTAGTTCTCTAACACATTCTAATTTTGTTGTAATATATTCAGAGAAGATTGTTCTATCAAAAATTGTTTGATTGACTCTAGGAAAAATTGTTTAACCAGCGAGTCATTGCATTCAAATTTTTCATGTACAGCAAGACATATTTCCAGAGAATATCTTTAAGTAGAACAAGTATACTTGCTTTTGTAGCACAGTATTAGTAAGAGGACTGCATATTAACTATCCACAGGAATACTCCTGATTTTTCTGAAGATGCAATGGGTTCACATATCATAAATTAAGAACACTGGTTCACCTGTGGAAAAGACAGTCTGAATACCAACGTCAGACATAAACCACCACCTCAGAACATGCATATCCAGGCATGTGATGCATGGAGTTAGCTTTCCTCAGTGTTTTTCCTTTGTGGCTAAAACATTGTTGATAACACCAATGTTTTGGCTATTGCTGGACAGTGCTTGCAAAGTGTGAAGACTTTCTCTCTCCCACCCCCATCCCCAGCAAGTAGGTTGGGGGTAGGCAAAAGGCTTGGAGGGGACATAGCCAGGACAGATGTGCCCAGCTGATGAAGGTGATATTCCATGCCATATGACACTGTGCTCAGCAGTAAAAGTTTGGGGAAAGAAGGATAAGAGGGAGAAATTTGGGTTTATGGCATTTGCCTTGCCGAGCAAGCATGAATCATTATCTCAAACCATGAGTCTTCTTACCTTCTTTCTATTTTCTCTCAATCCCACAGGTGAGGGGACTGAGTGAAAGGCTGGGCGGTTGTTTGGCTGTTGGCCAGGACCAACCAATATTTCATTTTAGGGTGTGCAACAACTTTAGCTGGACAATACTGTTTCTTGTTGTTTCAGATTAAGGTAACCTACCAGCTCATCCACTTGCTGTGTGACTCTGTCTCTCAGGCACAATTTGGACATCTTATTTTGACCCACTGGTCTGCTGTACCTTTTTATTGAAAAGTTTGCAGGGAGAAATACCTTTTTAAATAATAATAATAACAGTAACAATAACAACAACAACAGTAACAACAACAATAATAATAATAATAATAAGAAGCCAGTTGATACAGTTGGAAAACATCAAGGGTAAGCAAGCTAATATTTTCTAACACAGGGCAACAAATGTGAAACAGCAGCACTCTCACGTACCTCCATCCCTGGTGCACAGAGACACAGATTATCGGATGACAGGAGGCTGAGGAGCTGCTGTCAAGAAAGCAGCTCTTGCAGGTCTTGGTGAAGAGCATGGTCCCACCACGGGTCACCAGTCAGGGCAGCTGGCTTTACTGGTGCACGGGTCATCGAGGAGAGAGCACGGGCAGTGCTGCCTGTCCCCCAGAGCTGGGAGATAGGAAGCCCCAGCCCAGGGCAGTGCAGGGTGGGAGATGGAGATGTGAGCTGTGCACCAAGTGCTACGATCTAAAGGCTGGCAGCTTTGGCACTGTTTATTTACACCGCAGACAGAGTTTGCCTTTGCCAGCTCTGAACAGATATGGTCACACATTTATGTACTACCTGAAATCACTAGACACAGTAAAGAATTCCTGTCACTCAGTGCAGAGATGATCTATTCTTGTTGAGGTCCTCTTTGCAAAAAAGCCTTCCCAGAATCATTACGGACAAAATGAGACTGCTATTTAAACACTATTTTCCCACTTGTGTTTGACAAATCTTAGCAATTTAAATACTGATAGGAACTTTTTGCCATGCTTTCTGTTTAAAACGAAGCATTAAGAAAGTTCAGTCCTTTTCACAGGAGCGTGACATTCATAGAAAAAGGTTATGAGTTGATTTCTCACTTCAATTTTCTCTCTTCTTTTTTTTTTTTT